TGACGTTGAGTACTTCGGGTACTTACTTTGCTTTGGTTTTGGCAAGTCGCAAGAGTATGAAATGCGAACTTATCGCTTCCTTACTTGTTTAACGTAAAGCACTACTTGTTGTGTGAAAAGTCAAACTGAGGGTAAGAGAAGTTTTTCAATATTTTTACATGAAATGACCAGTTTTTTTTATTAAAYATTGAATAACTGAGAATGGTCTAAAAAAGTTCTATGAGCTAGCTAAGAGCTATCTAGCTATTATAATTATTCAAAATCTTTTTCACACAAGACAGGCATGAAGTTTAAATTCAATTAACTGCGGCTCATTTTAAGGACGGCCTCTAGCCGATTACTCATATATATAGTATATGTACATACTTACATATATATGTACCTAAACACATAATACTTCTGTCAATTATACTGCACTGAAGGTTATCATTAACGAGTCAACGGCTGGCACATGAAAAGATAAGAATGGTACGAAGCAGCCAATTCGCAGCAGAAGTAGTAAAAGATCACTTTAAAACATTTAATTACGAACTACCAAAAAAAGCGTTGCTCGTGGCGTCGTTTCGATTTTGAAAAATATGCTGACGTAAAAAACAACAGGTTATTGAATTAGCAAAAGATTATTGAAAATATATGCATATTTATTTATTGTTGTACAGTTTTTATTTAGAAGAAAACAAATTATCAACGAATGACAAATTCGAATTATAAATCTTTCCAAATGCGAAAATGTTACGTTTAAGATTATATGACGTTAGTACGTATTAATACGTATATATAAAAAGGCTTATATAATTTGTATACGTATATAAGCTCCAAAGCGATTTTGTTAAATAAAAGCGTACAAAACATGTAACAAAAGACATCACTTTATATCACTGACACTAAACGCTGGGCGACAATAAGAACGTTGAGGAAGATTGTTTTTTTTTATTGGTTGATACCTTATATKTTAGATTAATCATAACATACACAAGTAAAGGGTGATCCATTTGGAGGATCCCTACTATTTTAAAGAAAAAACATAGAAACCTTAAAATTAATGGAGAATGCTTCTTTTCATTCGAAAGAATATTATTTTGCATTTAATTATATTATTAATTAAAATATAATATAGATTATATCTTTCAAATGTTGGCTGGGTCTCAGCTCGCCCATCCAGTGCAGCCCAGTGATAACGGTTGCCATTGACTGTTACGTTCTCAACTGCATTAGTTGGAAGAAATATAAACCGATGATTCCACCGGCCCACAAACAACAGCAAACCGTTGTTACTTCTGGATGAAATGGCAGCTCATGAATCTCTTCAGGCTGCTTTTATCCAAATGCTTCAATTTCGCTTGTTTACATACCTATTGAGCCATAAATGAGCCTCATCGATAAATAAAATTTGGCTCGAAAACGTCGTATCTTCTTGAAAGTTTTCAAGAGCCCATAGAGCGAAGCCACAAAACTTGAGAAGGTCAAGCGGCTTCTGTTCTTGTACAAGCCGTATTTTGAACGCTTACTATTCAAGATATCGACGTAAAATAGACCAAGTCATTCCATACGTCTGTCCGAGTTGCTGCGAACGGCGCCGACTCTGCACGGTCTTCTCAGCTATGGCTGCTATATTTACTTCACTGCGTGCTGAACGTGGTCTGTTCGATCGAATGCTGGGTCTCAAGATGGGTGATGGTGTTGCGAATTTATGCGCAGTAGGCCGATTATGTTCACAAAAAGAATTTTCATAATCAAGTTAAACGTTTTAAAAACGTTGTTCAGACGTAAATCTGCCCATGATGAAATGCCAAACAGTACGTGACATCTTGACAGGACTCATTCATAAACTGTCAAAAACAAGGCTCTCCAGTCATTCTTCCTTTCGGCTGTTTGGCGCYAATTGGAGATATCAATTGTAGYCAGGTCCTTCTCTACCTGGTCCTTTCAACGGAGTGGATCCCTTCCTCTTCCTCTGCTTCCCCTGGCTGACACTCTCAGAACTAGAGGGTTTTCTTTCATTCGGAACCTCGATTGGTATCAAACGGATCGGAGAGGTCCTTCCCGATTCAGAAAGAGCTTTTGACATAGCTGAGAAGGCATCGCGGCCAGCTCTAATAGGTGTGCTATTAGGTAGAAATTATTAATCCGATTCAACCTATTTTTTGACAAGCAGGCTGTTATTAGAAAAGGATGATCTCCAAATTACAATAATATATTCTATAAAAGTTCGCAATTGGAATTTTAATCCACATAGTCGGTGTCTGGTGTCTTAATGTGGTGCTTAGTTGTAACACTTGATATAGTTTCATTTGATGGAGCGTGGTAGTGGTCGAATTACGCTCATCTTACGCCCTTTTCACCGAGGAACACGTGTGCCAAGTTCCTTCAAGATATTTTAATTTTACTCAAGTTATTGTTTAGACAGTCGGACGACGGAGATACAGACAAGCACCCGGTTTTCAAACCGTCACTTTATATACAGGGTGGCTGATGAAAGCCGCTACCAAAATAAAATTAAATAAYTTTTTTTCTTTTTAATGAATCTGGTTAATTTTTTTTTATTTTGCAGATTGACTTTTACATTTAACAAAAATGGATAACTGGGACACTGAAACAAGAATTTGGATTGTTCGCCGCTATCAAGCACTGAGTCCGTAGTTTCGGTTCAAAGAGAGTGCATATATATGTATATACCTATAAAGTAATACCACTTTTCGTTGTGATTTTATAACTTAAGAACGGGCTCACCTATCCAAACACAATCTTAAGGTTTTATTCAGACTATTTTTTAGGTGGTTAATTCAATAAATGTTAATGGAGATTTTTGCGTCAAATTGAAATTTTTTAAGACACGGATTGTGCTGCCAAATTGTTATGATATTGTGTCTTTCATGCAGTCATTGCCTTGCTTTGCAGTCATTGGACATGCTTTGATTAAAGCAAATTGTCGGCGATAATTATTGCTTGTGCTTTTAAACATACATACATATATAATACAAACGGTGAGTCTTAAATTGTTCAAATGTTTACTATGTCTTTTAGCGAATCGTCAGTGTTTCATGTCGTTAACAGGCTTTATTTCAATTAAATTGTCAAACAACGGTAAGTTTTGACCAGTTGAAGGGAAATACGTGTATGCATGTGTGTTTCTTTATTTGAAAAAACATATTGTGTGCAGAAAAATTGTTTATTCTTTTGTTGGAGGATGGAGTCATGTGTAGAAGTTCACGCAAGTGTGGAAAGTTTTCTGAGGGCAACTTACTTGGCAGTGCGCAGAAAAAATTATTTTACATATACTTACACTCAAAACAGACAGCTGAACGATTTTTACTCCACTTGCACTACTGCTCTCTGAGAGAACTCGATATAAAGGAACTAAAGGAGGAGTGCCGTGTCGCAGTGGAGAGAAAACCGGAATTGTTTTTGCGGCGATCTAGCCCCGTTTGGATCCGTGTACAATTGTACAATTGAAATTGACATAGAATCCTTTCCTGATAAGAGTAACTCTGTGTATCACAAATGGGTTGAATCGGGTAAATATCTCCCTGACCCCCACATAATACCATATAACGATTTCTGATTTTCCAGATGACTTTATGCCGCGTGTGAGCTATCTCAATGAACATGCGTGTTATACGATTATATACTGATAATTGTGCCGAAATAGATACAATTTCGCAAACTTGATCTTGCCCCCATGATATTAGAACTTTCGAATATCACGCTGATTTTACTCCATAAGATTGGTGTTTGTATGTGAGCTAACCTCATGCACCCGAACTTAGCCCCTCCATACTTGTATACTATAATTTTAATTTTCTTATATTAATAACCAATTTCTAAAGATATATTCTCCTACCTGATATAAGTATCTTACTGCATTACACATGCTTCGTAGGACTATTGTTGCAATAAATCCACCATAATTCTAAGTCCAACCCCAAATTTTAGTTGCTCTCCTATACAAACTTTTTCCCCAACTCGTTTTAATTGGCACCCCTGGGTTCTCTCTATTATACCTAGTAGGATCAAATGTTATTCTTTCATAGTAATAGTCTCTATTCAAAAAATTACCGTTCGCGTTGCTCAAAACAATAACAAATAAATGAATTGTCAATAAAAACGCATCGAAAACACATGATGTTTTCAATGTCGGTCCGAACAAGCTTTAAACACATTTTTCTCGAAATTACTTTTTTTTTGATGCAGTTGCTTATCTCAAGTTGTAACCAAAAATAATTAAACTTAGTTTCTTGCTACATTTTAGTTCGCGTAAGCTAAAAATATTTTCAAATAATTGATATATTTGTATATGTGATATTAACTCGGCCGAAGGCGCTAAATTTAATGCCTTGACCTAATGTGGAKAACCTCAAACAGAGGATCGGAATCCATTTTATTAGGGATATAAGAATAGAGCATAGACCAATTCAATGATAAACCACATAATTGTTAAGAAAACTTCTCCATTTAGTTTCATAAAATTATTACATTTTAATTTACTTGAATTTAATAAGGTGGAAAAACGGAAATCTTTTTGGGGCATCTGTTTTGAGACAGAGAAAGGGTTGGGCTGATTGCATWAATTTGGACATTGACCAGGTATACTTGAAAACGTRTTTTCAAGGAATTTTTATATATTCATCTCACACACTGACCGACATATTCGGCATAAGGTTTGTTAGAAAAAGGAAAATCATTGTATGTAGTATACGGCAGTTGGACGATTATAGATTATTTTGTCTTTTTCTGTCAAATCCACATGTTATTAATATGCCACATACTAATAAAATGTTGTTTTAAGTCTGCTGTTAGGTTAAGACCATTTGGTAAAACTTTTTTTTTTTTTTTGGTTTCTTTATAACTTTGGAACGGTGATATATACTGTCTAAATTTTTCAGCTCAGGTGGTCTTTTTATAAAACAATATTATGTGCGAAAATTTAATTTTCTGACTTAAAACTGGACTAAGATAAATTGAAAACTACGTATCTTAGGTTAAGGGACCATTTGGTCCATAGTATATTTTCTTTGATTTTCTTTACATTAATTTTCCAAAAATAAGTATTTATTAGTTTGTTCGATATTTTTTGGCACTACATGATAAGCAAAATGTTTTTCGGTTGGTTTTGCAAATAAACGCACTACAAATGGAGCATTTTACATCAGACGTAGACTAGCAGCAACTACAAATTCCTCGCTTTCGATCTCCTGAACTAGAAGCATTTTTAGAGCAGGCCACTTGTGCTGTGGAAGGTGTTCGTATTTCTCTCAATAACTGCGCTGAAAATTGTTGTTGAGGTAATTTAGTGCRTTTCATCATATGTGGCTYAGCCAAAGAAAGTGCAAGTTGCCGCAAAAAAATTTGGTCTCCTCCGATTCCGATCAGCTGGAGCCCACGAAACATCGATTTCGGAAAAAATTATGTACGCATTCAAAGCGAATATATCTAATATATTTGCAAATATAATGTTTGGCCATCGATTTGTTTCGTCGTATAGGAGCCAATCATTTGATCAGCAGTATCAACGCCACCTAAAAATATGAAACATAAAAAATTATTGGCAGGCAAAAAACTATTTGTAGTAAACCTTTTGTTGAATTGTAATTAGAAACAATCTCTGGTTTTTTCTTCGGCCCACTCTCATCAACTTTATCTTTCTTGTGCATTGTACTAATCAATATAGTTGCTTTGTTTTTGTGACTGATGTATGATACTAATGTCGCAATGTCATTGAAGGCAAATGTAGTTTTGTACAATGGAAGACTCTTCACAGTCAGCAATTTCGGAGGAATGAAAGTTTTATTTTTGCGAACCGTTCCCACATATGTAAGTTTTCTCTCATGAAGTTTTTTTACCAACTCAAATGTGGAAAAAAAATTGTCAGCTGTTATATTTTGGCCTTTCAAACCGTCTGTCAAGTCCAATGCAAAGCGTTCTCCTTGGTTCTTTTCGGGCTTAGCATTTCTAGGTTTACCAAGGCATGTTTGTATTTTCCATACGTTGCCGGACTTTGAGTCCACGGATAACCAAAACTTCAAACCATATTTTGCTGGTTTTGATGGCATAAACTGTCGAAAAGAACATCGCCCCCTGAATGCAACAAGTTGCTCATCAACCGTGACATTTTCATGGCAGTAGTAGAACATTGGAAGAAGTTGTTGCCAACGGTCCCACAAGTCACGAATAGGAGCAAATTTATCGCTACTACGCGTTTGTTGTCGACTCAAAAGATCATAGAAACGAAGCGCACTAGTAATCTTGTGGAATTGATTTTCAGACATAATTGATCGGAAAATTGGGCGACCAAATTTTGAATCAAATAAACCATGAACATCTTCATTTTTGCCGCTGTCATTGAGTAAGTTTATATTAGTAAAATATTTTACAGAAATAAGAAAAACAAGAATGTACTCACCGACATACGCCTACAAGAATAAGCACAGCTATATATGCGCGAGTGGAAACGGTATTACCACGATATGAGTTTAAGAAAACAATTTTATTTCTACGCCGAAATGCGTGTCTTTATTGATATTCTTAAGAACTAGTTTTAATATAAGATCTTACAGCTATTTATACTAGTGAAATGCGGCTGCTGTTATCTGCTTGAAACTTCTTTGTTGTAATTCAATATCCGTTATCTTGCTATCACTTGTTTGTTATACAAGTAGAAAGATGCGGAGGTGGTTATCGCAGTGGATTATTCCATTGCCAGATGTTTGTCGTTTAAATGTTGAGAACGCATTTCTAGATAATGCATGTTTGGTTGTTATTGTAATAATAGTCCATTTCTATTGTTCGACTGATAGTGCATGTCAATCATGTCATCAATTCGAGATGTGTATTAAAAGATAAGATGTATGTGAGTGTGTGACCCGGAGCGAGGCTATGTCATTAACTCGCGCAATATGTCATCATCAATATCGCCCCATTTGTCATCGRACTTGACTATGCCGTACTTATTAGTATTTCCTATCACAATTTTTTCTATCTGGACACTGCAAATCGATTTGGTCCTGGTTGTGTTGAGATAATATTCTCAACCGCAGATCCAATATGCTGTGGTAATGGTGTGGCACTCCATACCATCTTGTTTTTAGCAATAAATAAGGAATCAACAGAGCCACTTGGAGTTAAGAGGGGTTCCGGTTCACTATCTGTTTCAGACTCATTTGTTTCATAATTCTCCGAATTATAATCAATACCGCAATCTGAGATATCCGATTCCTTTCTGCATAGAGCATTTCTCGTATCTCGTCTTCATTCACGTGCGCCATTTCATAAGTAAACACGTCCGAACTCTCGAAATCAACACACAAACTGAACAAATTCGCATAAACATTCGTGATTCTCTACCACAAAAAGCCAAAAGTGGGAATCCCGCAATTATTTTTTGCACTAGCTATGTTGAGTAAAGAAAAATGCAAAACGGGGGAACCCCTCGCCTAGTTTTTATTTTACCAGAGTTGAGTAAATAATAAAATAATAATATTTAGCAAGTATTGAACCCAACTAAATATAAAGACTAAGATTAAATTGTTATTTTGTATGAAAACTGCATTGCGGACGAAATGGTCCTCTAACCTAAGATTCGTAAGTTTTTTTAAACCTAACAGCAGGGTTAAGTAAAAATTGTACTAACGTCATGAAATGTTCTAAATCGGGTGGACGGTACTGCCGCCTATAAAACGCCATTCAATCCAATCCGCAAATTAAGATATAAAACTGTAAAATAATACAACAAAACCGCATTAATCCCATTTGTGAACGAAAAAAGGTTAGCTAAAAGGAGTCCGACTATTACAACTTATTCAATCAGTGAGGATCTTATTATCTTTTAACTGAATTTGTATCTTGGTTTTCATTTTACAAACAATTAATTGACCAAATTGTATAATATGAATATATGTATATACAATTACATATACACATACACAAATAAACTTACCGCAATTTTGATTCATTCTCAAAATGTTTCATGAAACTTTCACTGGCCGTATGGTGATCGACTATTGTGATGTTGTGACTCTGATAGGAATGCAGCACGGCTATATTTGCCTCAACAACAGCTTTATCTTTCCACAATGAGGTTGGTGTGCGGGTATCCAAATTCATTTTCAACGCAATGGTCTGGAATATAAAATGTACAAACGATGTATAAACGGGAGAATATAATGACGATTCTGATTTTGATTTGATTATTTTCGATTCGTTGCATTTTTATTACATTTGCATGTTAAAAGAAAACAAGGTACATAAGATACTTGGAATATTCGATTTAAAAAAAATTGTAACGGACAATAATGAACGAAGATGGGAAAGATTATTTAGCACAGTGTAAATTGGTAGCGAAAATTGATAATATTCGATTGACTGTCGGTCTGTCTATAAGCATGTACAAGCGAAAACTTGAATATAAATTAAGATATTTAGTTAAGCTGAAACATATAAAAGGGAAATAAGTAAGCTACAAATTAAGATACAAAACCTTTGTTTAGTAGAATGTATGACATTCAGCATTGCCCCGAAAATGGACAAATCGTACCTTTATCACTTGAACAAAGCAGAGCAGTAAATTCTTAGTAGTACACAAGTAGTTTTTTGCCAGTTATCTTTTAAGAAATCTGAAGTCTGATAACTTAATTGATGTTTGCTTTTTGTACTATAAACTCAAAAAATCGGTTGGAGTTTACAAATTTGTTGTATGCAAAAGTACACATGACCCTCAACCCTCTTTGGATGCCGAGAAACACGTATACTAACTAAAAGATGTTAACTCGGCACGTCAGTATTGTTTGTATATATACTATATATCTACATATGTACAGTGCCAAACATAAGTTTTGGCACAGCAACCATTTTGCAATTTACGGTTATTTGAAAAGCAGACTAAAATGTTATTTAGTGTAAACACATTTTCCCACAAATGCTCAATTATGTTGAGGTCTGGAGATTTTTGTGGATGGGGCAAGACGTGTGCGGAACTATAAGTTAACTACAATCTTACAAAATGGTCCGAATGATTCGGGTCATTGGCTTGCCGAAAAGTGACTGAAATTGGTAAATTAAGTTATTCGGCACTTTTTTGAAATGTTTCTTCAAAATATTTAAATAAACCCTTTTGTCCATAATTTCTCCTATGCATACTAGGTCATCCACACCTGCAGCAGCCTTGCATCTCCACATCACCATAGCCGTATTTCACTGGAGCAAGATTTTGTTTTCAAAATTCAGTGTTGGACTTTCTCCACACTGAAGTACGACCATCACTCCGAAAGATATTGTACTTACACTCATCTGAAAAAAGGACACGGTCCCAGAATGTATAATATTTGGTTTTTTAATATACTCGTTTGTGCAGCTTTTTTCGGGCAACACGCGAATTATAGCCAGCCGCACATAGTACTCTTCCAACGGCCATAGCATGAATATCCATTCCAAATTAATTTTTCTCTGCGTAGATGATATTTTCGGATCTATTTTGAATTTTCGAACAATGTGCGGCTTTTCGCGATCGCTTAAAACCCGAGGATGACCAGCACGCTCAGTACTTTTTAAATATGATGCTCCTTTAAACCGCGTTATGATATTGCGAATTGTAAACCTGCTCCTGTCCATCATTTCACCTATTTCAGGACAAAACTTGGCTTGGTTGTGCAGATTTAAAACAATTTGTTCTTCAGATATACGGGTTTCTTGTTTTAAAGGCATTTTTATAAGTAAATGTTGTTTTTCACGTCATTGAACACAAAAATGAGTTTAACAATGCTAAAATTATTCACAATTTGAATAACTGTTAATAAATGAAACGAAAAGTGTTAAATTTTTGGAAAAAGGTAGCCAGATTGAATAATATTTAATTAAGAAATCGCCAATACTGTTGTGTAGTAGAATTTGATGTTTTTTATAAATGTCAATAAGAAAGTGAAATTAAAAATGAATTATTATAAAAAACTTAGCATAAGTGGTAGTTAATTAATGTATTTAACAAGGAAAAATATGTTTATACKTTTAAAATAGCCGTAAAACACAAAATAGTAACCAAAACTAATGATCGAAGAGGCTAATTTAATATATGAAGATAATTATTAACCGATATATACAATGTAATGCCAACCAAAAGCTTATAAACATTATGTTAGGTATATGGGAGATAGAGGTAGTATTGACCCGGTTGTATATATTTTTGGCATTGCTTCATATTACTAACAGTATAATTCAATTTTTGACTTACAGGCATATTGTTATCGGAAAACTATTATTTCCAAATTTCTATATTATATCTAACAGATTGGTCGAAATTTTCAATAAAAAGTTCATAATATGAATAGGGATCCTGGGGCTTTTAAAGGTTTTGGTTGATATGAACAATTTTTGGTCATAAACTAGCACACTTCAAATGCCCTATGCAAAATTCACCGATCATGTACGCGTGGTCAGCAATTCAGAGCGCTACATAATATCATCGATACAAAAGCAACCACCGGGCACATTCATCAAGATCATCTCTAGCTACTTCATATGGACACCGTCTCGTTGATCATGTAGTGCTTTTATTTATATTATATATTTTTATTATACTTTCCATATTTAATGGTAAACAGATATAATTACCTGATCAATTAAAATCATTTTAAATTTAAAGTACATTTGTATTCTTTGCTAATAAAGTGAAGGTGAGTGAATTATTGAAAATGACAACTAGTGGGTATATGTGCATTTAAACAGTTATATTATATATAAGGGATTAGGCGAAGTACTGATCGGATTCAGCCTATTTTTATACTCTAGCAACAAAGTTGCTAAGGAGAGTATTATACTTTTGTTCACATAGCGGTTGTTTGTAAGTCCTAAAACTAAAAGGGTTATATATGCATTAATATCATATGATACAAAGTAATATAATATGAGACCACTAAATCGCTGAGAGTGCGATACGTGTAGTGGCAATCTGTGGGAAGCGCAGTGTCAGCAGTTTCATACCCGTTGCAGCGGCAAACATAGATCTAGAGTTAAGTATAATTAATTGTAAATTTTAGTTCTTTAGTGAAACTCAATAAAGGAACATAGCGCCCAAGCAGCGACCAGCGCGTACGAAAGTGACAATAGCCTGAAAATCAAAAAGTAAGGCTACGCGAGTGGCGATGGTAGGGATTGTGAAAGTGTAAAAAGCGAAAAACAACAAACATACTGGGTCAACGAGCGGCCCATCGTACAACGTGGGATCTAGACTAGAAACGTCGAGGGACACCARTACCGATATAGGAAAAAGGACAACCCCGAAGCGATCAAAAACACCCCACGGAAAGCTGGGAATTATTAATGTAAGCCAAAATATTATAAGAAGATTACAATATTGTAAAGAAAAAAGTGCTCGTACAAAGACATTTTTTTAAATTAATTAAACTAAGAGAAAAAATTTGAGATAATGCCAAACACAGCCGAGGAATTAGTAGAACAGTTAAACCAAATGAGGATAGRYTATGGGCAAACCACCCATCCCTCAAATCCTTCCACCCATCCTTTAAACCCTCCCACCCCTAAYCCAACTCTAATAACGACAATAGTTCGAGAAGTACTCGAACGAATGAATTTACAAACTGTAACTGACTTCACTGAACCCGAACACAGCGTAACACTGATTGCGTATTATATAAATGAATTAGACAAGATTCCGGACATGGTCAAATGTCTTAGAGAATTTTCAGGACGAAAAGGAGAATTTAACTCCTGGAGGAAGAGCGTAGACAGAATCTTTAAAGCTTATGAGGGAGTCAAAAATACCCCAAAGTATTTTGCGATAATCCATACGATTAGGCACAAAATAATTGGCGATGCCGACACCGCATTGGAATCGTACAATACTCCACTTGATTGGGGTCAAATTCGAAAATACCTTATGATAAATTATTCGGATAAAAGGGACATGGGTACCCTCGAATATCAGATGACCACTCTGGTGCAACCCCATGACGACTTTCCGACCTTTTACCAAAAAGTTTATCAACATCTTTCACTTATATTAGACAAAATTTCATGTCTTGAACTAAGTAACGAGTCCATACGGACTATGACCAACTCATATAGGGACAAAGCTCTTGACACATTTATTAGAGGACTAAATGGCGATTTATCTCGTCTACTCAGCGTGGGAGAACCGACAACCTTACCCCAAGCACTATATTTATGTCAAAAACTTGACAACATGACATATAGAACAAATGCCAACTATACACACAAAGCAAATATTCAATCACCACCACGACATCCCCGAAATAACAATTTTAATAACTATAATAACAATAGAGTTTTTTTTACCCCGAATTAACATATTCCCACTAACCCAGACGAAATTTCGACCAACATCCATTCGATCGTCAATCAAACCGATATTGCCCAAACTCTCCCAACTATATGCAAAATAACCAAGGATTCATACCGAGGTTCAACAATTACCCGAACAACTACCATATTACTAGATAAAATACCTCCTTTAATAATAGACCAAATTTACCACCTAAACCACCGACCCCAATGGAAGTCGAACAATCAATACGATCAAGACAAATCAATTATCAGAATAGGCCCAATACATTCCAGGACAATCGAACCACCCAAACGTCCGATTTCCGCACAACAGTCTCATCCTCCAAGCAGAATACAAAGAAATTTTTTTACTAACGTGGTAGAATTAGACCCGAAGGGTATATACGGTAACAATCTCTACGATAGCAATTTCGATAATGCAAGTAAAAACAAACCTGATATTATTAGTTTTTTAGATTAGCGCCGTCTTCGCTGCCTTATTATGAATTTAGAACAAGGCGCGGAGACACAATAGATTTTTTTATTGATACCGGATCCAATAAGAACTACATTCAATCCACTAGAATTAGGAATCCCATTCCGAATGAAAACGTTATATAACGTTAAAACAACGAATATCCCACGAAGTGAATAGTGTGGCAACCAATATTCCACATCTCGCTTTGGAACAACAAAACAAAATTAAGAATATTATCGATAAATGTCCAAACCTTTTTTCCGATCCCGATGAAAAACTTACCTGCACCACCACACCACCCTGGTAAAAGATGAAATCCGGACAACTACCGAAACCCCCTTCTACT